CTGTATGTTATAGCCTGCGATTTAATTACTTTATAACTAAAAGTTTGTAGTTTTGGACCCCCCACCAGTCTGTTCTCTGTATCTATGAGCTTGAGTGGTGATGATGGTTTTAGATTCCACATATATAAGTGTCTTCTTCTGACTTTTAGCATAATGCCCACCAGGTTCATTCATGTTGTCACAAATGGCAAGATTTCATTCTTTTTTTATGGCTGTATAGCATTCCATTTGTGCGTGTATGTGTGTGTGTGTGTCACCTCTTTATCTATTCGTTAGTCAGTGGACACTTAGGTTGTTTCCATATATTGGCTATTACAAATAATGCTACAATAAACACGGGGGTGCATATATCTTTTAGAGTAAGGGCTTTTATTTTCTTCAGATAAATACTCAGAAGTGGAATTGCTGGGTCGTATGGTAGTTCTATTTTTAATTTTTAATTTTTTTAGTAACCTCCTACTGTTTTCTATCATGGCTACACCAATTTACATTCCTACCAACAGTGCACAAGGGTTCTCTTTTCTCCACATCCTCACCAACACTTGGTAGTTCTTGTCTTTTTGATAATAACCATTCTAACAGGTGTGCGGCGATAGCTCATTGTGGTTTCGATTTGCATTTCCCTGATGATTAGCGATGTTAAGCAACTTTCCTTGTACCTGTTGGCCATTGTATATCTTTTTTGGAAAAATGTCTATTCGGATCCCCTGCCCATTTTTTAATTGGATTGTTTCTTGTTTTGGGGGAGGTCGTTTGCTATTGAGTTTTATGAGTTCTTTATATATAAATGTTGGTTATTAACCCCTTATCAAATATATAATTTGCAAATGTTTTCTTAAATTCAATAGGTTGCTTTTTTATTTTGTTGATGGCTTCCTTGCTGTGCAAAAGTTTTTAGTCTGATGTAGTCCCACATTAAACTACTAAGTTTATTTTTTGCTTTTGCTGCCTTTGCTTTTGGTGTCAGATCCAAAAAAGTCATTGCCAAAACTGATGTCAAAGAGCTTATTTTTTTCTTTTAGGCTTTACATCTTTGTGCAAGTCTTTGTGCAAAGAGCTTATTTTTTTCTTTTATGGCTTTACATCTTTGTGCAAGTCTTTAATCCATGTTGAGTAAATTTTTGTGTAAAATATAGGATAGTGGTCCAGTTTCACTTTTTATTTCTAATTTTTGCATGTGGCTGTCCAGTTTTCCCAACACTATTTATTAAAGAGGCTGTCCTTACCCCATTATATAATCTTGGCTCCTCCGTCATAAATTAATTTAACATATATGTGTGGGTTTATTTCTGAGCTTTTCATTCTGTTCTGTTGATCAATGTATCAGTTTTTGTGTCAATACCACACTGTTTTGCTTACTATAGTTTTGTAATATAGTTTAAAATCAAAGAGTGTGATGCCTCCAGCTTTGTTCTTCCTTATCAAGATTGCTTTAGCTACTTAGAGTCTTTTGTAATTTCATACAAATTTTAGGATTGATTGTTCTATTTCTGTGAAAACTGCCATTGGAATTTCGATAGGGATTGCACTAAATCTGGGTAGTATGGACATTTTAACAGTGCTAGTTCTTCTAATCCATAAGCATGGACTATCTTTCCGTTTGTTTGCATCTTCAGTTTCTTTAATCAGTGTCTTATAGTTGTCGGTATCCAGATTTTTTACCTCCTTGGTTAAATTTATTCCTAAGTATTTTATTCTTTTCGATGTAATTGTGAGTAGAATTAATTTAATTTCTCTTTCTGATGGTTCTTTATTAGTGCATAGAAACATAATTGATTTCTGTATATTAAATTTGTATCCTGTAACTTTACTGAATTCATTTATTAGTTCTAACAGTTTCATGGAGTCTTTAGGATTTTGATATATATGTCATCCACAGATAGGGACAGTTTTACTTCTTCTTTACCAATATAAATGCCTTTTATTTCTATTCTTTGCTAATTGTTTTGGCTAGGACTTCCAACACTGTTGAATAAAAGTGGTGAGCATGGATGGCCATCCTTACCTTGTTTCTCCTTTTAGAGAATAGCTTTCAGCTTTTCACTGCTGAGTATGATGTTAGCTGTGGGCTTGTCATATTTGGTATTTATTATGTTGAGGTATGTTCTCTCTATGCCCACTTTGTTGAAGGTTTCTTTTTTTCTTTTTTTTTTTTAACATAAATGGATGTTGAATTTTGTCAATTGCTTTTTCTGCTTCTATTGCTATATGATTTTTATCTTTCATTTTATTAATGTGTATAATGTTGATTTGCAGATGTTGAAACATCCTTGCATCCCTAAATAAATCTCATTTGATCACAGTGTATGATCCCTTTAACATGTTGTTGAACTCAACAACACATAAAAAGTATTATAGATTTTTACACTTATGTTCATCAGGGATATTGACCTGTAATTTTCCTTTCTTATGGTGTTCTTGTCTGATTTTGGTATCAGGGTAATGCTTGCCATGTAAAATGAGCTTGGAAGTATTCCATCTTCTATTCTTTGAAAGAGTTTGAGAAAGATTGGAATTCTAATTTAAATATTTGAGGAGGATCTCAGATCCGGCTTCTGATCAGCAACTAGATTCAGGCTGATTAGAAGCCAGATCCCCAAGCAGCTTTTAAAGAATGCAAATATATACAGTTCTATGCGACCACAAGTGTAAGCCCCACTGGCCACCAGAGCCAGGTGATCTGGAGGTATCCCTTGGGTGGCAGTTGCAAACTGTAGGGCTCCCCTCATGCATTATATAACTAACCTACCTCATCATCGATACCTTAGCCCTACAAAGTTAGGCTTAAAAATAAATCCTCTGCCATGTCACTAAGAAAAAATGCAAATTGCAGACCAGCATCTAGGATGTGATACTATTAACAAATGTGAATGCACACACACTTTATTTCTCCATGGGCACATATGTAAATTTATGGAAACAGGCCTGGAATGAGGCATCCAAAAGAGTTAAGAGTGTTTACCTCTGAGGAGGACCTGGGATTATAAGGGGTGGTCAAGGGGCATTTTCACCTTATCCGAATGTCTGAACTTCTTAGTGAAAAATATGTTCAGTAAATATTTTTTAATTAAAACTCGCTTAAAGGAAAAAAGTGTATTGAATTGCCAGATTATAGTGCTTTTAATATTTAAAAACAAAAAGGCAGTGAGTAAAACTAAGTTTCTTAAAATGAGCAATGCATAGAAAATGCAGACTAAGGGAAATTTACAAGTGGGCAATGCCTACTTATAGTGTGTAACATGCTCCTTAGAAATTGGAACACATCCTCTGTCCCTGGGCTTTATCTTACCCAGAGCACCTACCATACAACATTTTCTAATGGTGTCAGAAATCAGTCTTTACAAACATGTACTTATAGGAAAAAATGATATAAAATTACATGTTTTAATGTAAATTTAACTTCTTTACTTCCCACTTAGATGTTTTAGGCAGTTCGATTCTTTCTTTTTTTTTTTTTTACAAGGCTTTACTTTCTATTTTATTGCCCATCTTTTTTTGTTTGTTTTTTGTTTTTTAAGATTTCTTTTAATTAGTTTCAAATATACAGTACATTGGTTAGATATTTATATAGTTTATAAAGCAATCCCCCTAATTGCTCTTTCCTCTGGCTCTCCACCTAGCCATTATATTAACGCTAACTGCATTCTCTATGCTGTGCTCCCCATCCCTGTGACCATCTATCAACTACTAATTTGTACTTCTTTAACCTTTCACCCCTTTCTCCCACCCC